CCGGACACCCTCACACCAAACGCCCTGGCTGCGCCTACAAATTCTGTCCATAAAAACTATGAACAGAATCGGTGACAAAGGGCAGCCCTGACGGAGTCCAACCCTCACCGGAAACAAGTCCGACTTATTGCCGCCCATGCGGACCAGACTCTGGCACCGGTCATACAGGCCTTAAAAGGAAGCTCGGCACCCCATACTCCCAGAGCACCCCCCACAGGACTCCCCGAGGGACACGGTCGAATGCCTTCTCCAAGTCCACAAAACACATGTAGACTGGTTGGGCAAAATCCCATTAACCCTCCAGAACCCTGCGGAGAGTATAGAGCTGGTCCACTGTTCCACGGCCGGGGAGAAAACCACACTGCTCCTCCTGAATCCGAGGTTCAACAATCCGGCGGACCCTCCTCTCCAGAACCCCCGAATAGAACTTACCAGGGAGGCTGAGGAGTGTGATCCCCCTATAGTTGGAGCACACCCTCTGGTCCCCCTTCTTAAAAAGGGGGACCACCACCCCGGTCTGCCAGTCCAGAGGCACTGCCCCCGATGTCCACACAATGCCACAGATGCGTGTCAACCAGGACAGCCCCACAGCATCCAGAGCCTTAAGGAACTCCGGGCGGCTCTCATTCAGCCCTGGGGCTCGGCCACCGAGGAGCTTTTTAATCACCTCAGTGACCTCCGCCCCCGAGATAGGGGAGTCCACACCTAAGTCCCCATACTCTGCTTCCACATTGGAAGGCGTGTCGGTGGGATTGAGGAGGTCTTCGAAGTATTACTTCCACCGACCCAAAACGTCCCGGGTTGAGGTCAGCAGCACCCCATCCCCACCATAAACAGTGTTGATGTTACACCGCTTTCCCACCCGGAGCCGCCGGATGGTGGACCAGAATCGCCTCGAAGCCATCCAGAAGTGGCCTCACCAAACTCCTCCCAAACCCGAGTTTTTGCCTCAGCGACCGCCGAAGCCGCATCCCGCTTGGCCTGCCAGTACCTGTCAGCTGCCTCTGGAGTTCCACAAGCTAAAAAGGCCCGATAGGACTCCTTCTTCAGCTTCACGGCATCCCTCACCACTGGTGTCCACCAGCGGGTTCGCGGATTGTCACCACGACAGGCACCGACCACCTTACGGCCACAGCTCCGGTCAGCCGCCTCCACAATGGAGGCGCAGAACATGGCCCATTCGGACTCAATGTCCCCCGCCTCCCCCGGGACATGGGAGAAGTTCTGCTGGAGGTAGGAGTTGAAACTCCTCCTGACAGGGGATTCTACCAGACGTTCCCAGCAGACCCGCACTATACGCTTGGGCCTGCCAGGCCTGGCCGGCTTCCTCCCCCACCAGCGGAGTCAACCCACCACCAGGTAGTGATCAGTTGACAGCTCCGCCCTTCTCTTCACACGAGTGTCCAAGACATGCGGCCGCAAGTTCGATGACACGACTACAAAGTCGATCATCGAACTGCGGCCTAGGTGTCCTGGTGCCAGGTGCACACCCTTATGCCTGAACATGGTGTTCATTATGGACAATCCATAGCGAGCACAGAAGTCCAACAACAGAACACCACTCGGGTTCAGATCGGGGGGGGCGTTCCTCCCAAACACGCCACTCCAGGTCTCACTGTCATTGCCCACGTGAGCATTGAAGTCCCCCCGCAGAACAAGAGAGTCCCCAGAATGAGTGCTCTCCAACACCCCTTCCAGGGACTCTAAAAAGGGTGGATATACTGAACTGCCGCTCGGCGCATAAGCGCAAACAACAGTCAGAACCCGTCCCCCCACCCGAAGGCGAAGGGAGGCTATCCTCTCGTCCACTGCGGTAAACCCCAATGTACAGGCGCCGAGCCAGTGGGCAATAAGTATGCCCACCCCCGCTCAGCGCCTCTCCCCGCAGGCAACTCCAGAGTGGAAGAGGGTCCAACACCCTTCGAGGAGACTGGTTCCAGAGCCCAAGCTGTGCGTCGAGGTGAGCCCGACTATGTCTAGCCGGAACTTCACAACCTCACGCACCAGCTCAGGCTCCTTCCCCATCAGAGATGTGACATTCCATGTCCCAAGAGCTAGCTTCTGCAGCCGAGGATCAGACCGCCAAGGTCCCCGCCTTTGGCCACTGCCCAGCTCACAACGCACCCAACCCCTATGGCCCCTCCTATGGGTGGTGAGCCCATTGGAGGGGAGACCCACGTGCCTTGTTCGGGCTGTGCCCGACCAGGCCCCATGGGTATAGGCCTGGCCACCAGGCGCTCGCCATCGAGCCCCACCCCCAGGCCTGGCTCCAGGGGGCCCCGGTGACCCACGTCCGGGCAAGGGAAAACGTGTTTTCATCATGTTTTTCTTCATAAGGGGTCTTTTGAGCCGCACTTCATCTGGTTCCTCACCCAGGACCTGTTTGCCTTGGGTGACCCTACCAGGGGCATAAAGCCCCGGGTAACTTAGCTCCTGAGATCACTGGAACACGCAAACCCCTCCACCACGATAAGGTGTCGGCTCCAGGAGGGGTGAAATGAACATAGCAACATTTTTCTTTGTGAACATGGGCTCAGACAGTGATTATTATGGAACAGATCATTGTTTCCATTTTAACAGTATAGATAAAACACATGGAGAACTATGCTATGAGAATAAAGCTCTCATTGCTATAGTTATGAAAAGGGCCACAGGTTGCATACAGTATAGAGACGAAACTGAGTGGCATTAAGAAAAAACATGCTACAAAACAACAAAGGAGAAATATAACATATAAAAGGAAGAGAAGATATAGCAGAGTAACTATAGAACCATCTGGAAAGAGCCAAAGAAGCACTGAGCATTAGATTTAATCCCATGATCGTATGCTATCGAAAGTCAGGCCATTCACCTTGTGGACTTGGACCCGTACAACCTGTAAGCTGACCACTGAAGCTGACCATAGGGCAAACAGGATATTTCATGGTAACTCAGCTTGCTCCAGGGCCACTGGATGTATGACTGACCCGGTGCTCAGACCCTCACTCTCACCTCTGCACATGTGTGTGTGTCTTAAAGGAGAGCAAGATGGGATGTGAAAATGAAAGAATTCCTGTGCAGTTGTGGAAACGACAACTCGGGCTCTAAGAGGAAAGGCACATTTCCTCTGGCTGTGAGCTCCTCGCTTGGTGGGGGGGGCTGAGTATTACACTGGCATAGAGCATAGATTCTGAGTCAATTCAGTCAGATTTCAGGAAGTTTGGATGGGGAAATTGTCTTGATCCACCCTTCCTGAAGCTCGTACCCCCCCCCCCCTTAGGGAAAAATGATAAAAATAAACACCAAGAAAAGAAATGGTGCTGCCATGTTTTGAAAAAAAGTTAGAGATTAGTTTCAAACGTCCCGATTTAATTTTATATCTTCGTTTATGTTATATGGACATAATTATACAGGATAATCGTTCTGTCTAATTTTTTTCTTCCTCCATAAATTGATGGATGGCAGTTGTTTAAAATCAGCCAAGGGGAATACACCAGAAGTCAAACAGAGAGAGAGATGAATGGAAGAGCTTCACCTCTACATTGATTTACAATGTTCGGTGTCTGCACGCTAAGACAAAGGTAATTGGTGATTTAAGAATTTATGGCAAATGCAAAGCGCACAAAAATTCAGCCAAGACTTCATAAATCTACATGGTACTACATTTTAAAAATGAAGCGGTAAACTTCCTTAAGAACATAAGATCGTTTCCCAGACCAGTCACTTATAATAAGATTCATAATCTATGCAATTTGTTAATATTAATGTGCTTTACATCACGCCCTGTTTTACATGCTCCAAGGGGAACAGGCTTGCAAAAGCGTTCTGAGATCGATGCATAGATGCTGATATGTTCAGTGTTCAGTATTATAAGTGGGATCTTTTATATATATGCATTTGTATTTACATACTTATGCATTTCTATATGTGCACGCTACTTGAGCCCCAGGATGAAAGGGAAGCGTGTGTGTTACATGCAGAAATCTTTGTCTGGCAGTCTGCATTAAAACGCCTTCATCTGAGATACAGCAGAAAAAGAAGATTATGCAATAAAAAGATGCAATTTTCTGTTGTTTGGAACATCTACATAATGATATGATAATGTGAGGTTATTCAGTCTCAGAATAAGTCCTGAGGAAAACCTCTATTGAATCTAAAAGTAATAGGATTTTAGATGAAGTCAAATCCTTATTTTGTCACAGTTTTTAAGATGCAAACTAAATTTCAATTCCACTTCAAAAGCCCCCAAGCCTTATATACTGATTAAGACAGCAGCAGGGTTCAGTGAACATTAATAAAAATAAAATATAGTCGAATCACTTCAGCTCCCAGTTTAAGGTCCATGACACATGTAACATTTCTGAGAATTTTGCTATTTTTGCATATTTAAATTCAGCTCAGATGTACATTAAGCGGCATTTATTGGTTGTATATCATGAAGTTGTCCTTCTTAATAATCAAGAATAAGGGCTGCATTATTATAAGACAACAGGAAAATGTTAATGGAGTGTGACATTACCATTGAAATGCTACATTAACATTAAGCAGAGCGTACAGCTATGGAAACGCATGCATGTTTAACTAATCAATGCTCCCCTAATCATATAATGGATTATAATGGATTATTATTAATGTGTAATTGTGCTCTTTCCAGACGCCAAATAGATAAAAATTCTGGGAGCAGACTGGTATTGCTGAAAGAGCTTCTTAACAGTAATGTGACAGCAGAGTGTATTGAGTGGACACCAGCTGTAGCTACAGGGTGAACCACTTTCGCAGTGTTTGACATCCTTTGCTGCACGATTCAGGTTTTAGCTGGAAGTCATTCATCTGGTTTACCTTGGCTGGGATAATAAAAGGCTGGGATTATAAAACAATACTGGAAAGAAGACCATTTTCTGGAAATGACCTGTTACTTACAGTAGTGATAAATTTGAAAACAGTAAATTGGGGGAAAAAATGACTTCTCATATGAAACGGAGGGGCTTGTCTTTCCATTGTACAGCGGTGGACCTCCTTACTTTATGGTTTTGTGGATCCGCTCCACGGCATCCTCGAGCTCCCGTTTCTGATCCGGCACAAAGCGGTACTCTGACACGTACCCCGGCACATGCCTGGACAGGTCATAATCGCCCAGCTCGGCTGTGGGAAGAAGGAGAGTCAGAGAGAAAAATGGACTCTGGATGACCACAGGATGTGCAATGAAATTGCATTCCTGACAAAGTGCATCAAACCTCCCCCAAAATACCCACAAAGACTCATAAATAATGAGTTAGTAGCAGAAAGCATCTCCCAGGGACCTAATTATATATAATAATATAAAAGTGATATGCTGAGATACTTACAATATTTGCATTATATGCTTAAATTGCACTGAGTATATATATTTATTTTCATAAATCTACTTGTATTTGTTATGTTATTGACTGTTTAATTGTACCCTGCTTTTAGTGACTTAAGTTTTGTTTGTGTTTTGGGTTTAATTTGTTGTTATCAGTGTCTGGAAGGACACGCAAAGTAAGATCTGTATTACACAGTATAAGTGACCATTCACTGTGCACGTGACAATAAACCCTTGAATCCTGACACCAGGGGCATCAGAAGCATTTTGAATGTGGGGGGGACACAGTGGCATAAAACTAATATTTTATGTTAAATGTGAGGGGGACACATCCCCCTCAGATTTAATGGCGGCGACTGTCAGGCATGAATACTATTGCCTGACAGTCATTAATATATTGTAATGACACATGTCTATATATCAATTCTTTGTTATAAAATAGGTGAAGGTAAGAATTAAAATGCTCTCTGGAATCTGTTTTGATCATACTTCTGAGACTGACACTTTATAGTAGCCAATGAAATGCTAATGCTTCAGTTTTGGTTCACCAGAACAGGTTTTCTGAACCAAGTAACCATGGAGTGATTGGCTACGTTCACACTGCCAACCATATCGTTCAATTCCGATTTTTTGCTCAGATCGGATTTGTCTATCTTGACGGTTCACATTCATAAGTACAAGTGACCTGTATCTGACTGTAATGTGAACGCATCGGTCCTCCGAAACGTCACGCATGCGCACATTGATACATTTTTACACGGGTAAAAAGCTGGTCGCAAAATTGGCACGTTGTGCGGCCATGACCGCTGCGCTGATTCAAGTCTATTGCCTCTTTAAACTTTGACTTCAGGCTCTTTATTGTTCTTTGGCATTGTAGCCACGTTCGTGTCAACGCTGTGTCATTTCTTTGGCAATTATTTCAAATACTACTCTATTACGAGTTCCTTCCAGTTTAGCTTGAACAGATTCATTTCCCCAAATAGCAATTAAATCCCCACCTTCTCCATCCTTCCACTGACTGTTATCGCAGCTCTCCTCCATTTTTACCTTCCTGCACTGCTGGTGCAGGCTGATGTCAGCGCATCCGTATAAGCAAAAAGCCACATAAATTCCGATCTGAGCGTTCACATTCAGGTCGCATTGGCCACGAATCGGATACGTATCCAATTTAGTACCACATATGAAAGTGGCACAAATCCGATTTGAAAAGATCAGATTTGCGTGTCCACACAGCCCAGAAAACATCAGATCTGTGTCACATTAAAGCAAAAAATCCGATTTGAGTCACTTCAGCATGGCAGTGTGAACGTAGCCATTGTCTCACATGAGTACCTGCAGTAGTCACAATTATGGTCACAAAAGGGGGAGGGGGGACACGCTCACCCTGCACGGCTAAAGCGGCCAGCTGCGCGGCAGCGCTGAATAGACATGGCAGGCGGCCCTGCAGCACGTCCTGCTTCACCTGGAGGAAGAACTGGTACCTGGGGAGAAGGGCAAATTGCAGCACGGGCCGCCGGATCAGAACCGGAGGGGTGGAGGCCGGCAGAGGCTGGTGGGGTGAAAACAGCTGGGGGCGGGATCAGGAAATATGGGGGCTTCAAAGAGACAAGCCGATGACTGTCTTAATGTAAAGTATTAAAAAATTATCATGAATACTGTTACTAGTACTGTTACTGACGTGACCGAATATACCTGGTTATTTCTTCCTTTAGTTTACAGGGATCCTCGATGTAAAACTTGACTCCAAAGTAGAGGATGTAGGGAGGTCCCGCTAAAATATGAACGGGGGCACAAATTAAAGAGAACAGTGCAGGCAGCCAAACTATGAAGACAGAAAAGGGAGACTGGGGGTGATTTAACAATGTTCTGCAGTCAGGATGTTGCTTCCTACTGTTTTATATAACCTTTTTGGAGTAAGACAGATTTAGAGGGCAACATCACCTACGCATTTGCACCAAAGGCTTCTCTTCCCAACAGATTAGCCCACATTTTGATTTTCAGTATGGCCCTCCAACATTTCAGATGCCGTTTTCCCTTTTTTATGTTTCTGAGACCACAGGCCAGTGCTACTTTTGTTCTTCTGCAAAGAAACTGCCAAATATGTCTGTGCCCAGCTGGCTGCTGACATAGCAAATGGGAAAAAATCTACTATGTTTATTGTGTTAGACCTCTTTATCCTGTTTACCAGTGGAGTGGGCTTTGAGACAGACACTTGACATACATCCAGGCCTTGAGGATTGCCAATCATAGCTATTCCTACAGGACAGCCATCTGAATACTGCTGTGGGTGGCACAATGCAGAAAATGCACATGGCAATACAGCAGAAAGTGAGGTTAAAGGCTGGTTCATACTTCTCTGAACGCGTTCTAGTGGACGTGTCCGTTCAAACGTTTATGACACATTTGACGTCATTGTGCGCCTTCATGGACGAACGCCTGCTGCACTCTAAATCTGTGTCTACGCAGTGGTGTATGCGCAGCTCTAAACACACTGTGCTAACAACGTGGATGGATTTGTAAACTCTACAGGGTAGTTTATCAACTCTACAGACTATTTAAAATGTAATAAAAGTGTTACATATATGTAAATGCATGCGTATTTGAGTGCAGACTCGTCTCAAATTGAAAATCTCACACCAGGCAGCTGACCAAAGTTGGCAGCCTTGTGAGCTGGCATTCTGAGTTTGTAAAACATAGAGAAATGGACACAAACCTCACTGGTGTGGTACATGTGCAGGGAATATCAGAATAATAATGTATATTATTATCATTAATATAAATATAAATATAACACGTTGTGTGCATGTGCAAAGTTGACTGGAGGAACTACAAACGTTTCCGTGTACGCATACGCAAAGTGGATACGCAAGTGCTGCAATTGGGCGGAGAAGTATGAATCAGCCTTAAAGCAGTGACAAATGAAACCGCTCAGAGAGAGGCATGTGACACAGGCCTATACTCTCCAATGCAGCCTCCATAATTTGGTTTTAACATGGCTGTCACTGACATTAATGACACTTAACAATTTAGCAAGATGCTGATAGATAGATTGCCCATCATTGCCAGATACGTTTTGAAAGTAACATTGAGCAAGAGGAAGACTTAAAACACAGAAATCAGGCGAATACCTACTTGTTATAAAATCTTTATGTTCAGCAAGGGTTTTCGAAGGATCCAGCCAGTACTGTAAACAACACATTTGGTTAATTTGTGGCTCAAACTGAAAAGAAAAACATTTTAAACTTAAAATATTATTCAGAAGCAAAACTGGATATAAGAAATAGTTAAAATACTAAATAACTCAGTGGAACAACAAACTCGTCAAACCCCCCCAAAGGAACATGCCCTTAACAATGCATCCCACATATTCTCCTACGCTGTAATTATGTTTATAAATCATGGCTGCTTCTGGAGTCTGACAGTTACAGTACAGCAGCAAGCCACTGACTCATGCCTGGATTGGCAGGATGTTGGAAGAGCACAAAGCTTCTCAGCAGCTCTGAAAAGTCAGAGAACAGCCGCCAGAGCAGGTATAACCTGAGCATTTGGTTTTGTGCTTGATGGGCCCAGAAATATATGCCAAATTATAGCTAAAACTGACTATATGATAACCAGGATAATTACTAAAGCTATGCCGTTAATTTGTTGAATGTTGTTCCTGGGTGTTTCTGGTAAATAATGCTGCGGACCATTTCAAATGGTGTGTCATAAAGGTAGATTTATTTTATTAAACAAAGAGCCAAAATTAAAATGCACACGTGTAATACCTCATGTATTTGTCGTTCCAGTTTTCAAACATCATGTCAGAAATAATCCAGGAGAATAAACACACTTGACATTCAAAATCTTGTATTTTGGCACGTCAGGTTGTTTTTGTGGAATTTCGCATATTTAGTTGACTTACTTAAGTATCTCTAAGGTCATGTCTTACAGTTATGCCAAAATGTCTCCAGTTCTATCTCTTGCTGGTGTTTTTCCAAAGCAGTTTTTGAAAGTACTTAATGTCGCTCTTTAGCCAAAGAAGCTGGAATGCTTACTTTTGTGCTCGGTATCATTCCTGCCCTGCTGCTGTTTTTCGCCTTCGCATTTAGCTGCTAAGTTACGCAGTGTGTGCCGTTCAGAAGGCCAGCCGAGGTCACCACAGGACCCGACCTCCATAAATACAAAATCAGCCCTTTTCTATATTCCCAGGATTTCTACTTGAGAAAAATATTTTCTGAAGGCTGTTTCAGGAGAATGGTTTAAACAGTCATCCCATTTTCCAAAGTTTTATTTATAAAATCGTACCCTAACCCTCTCATAATAATGCATTAGCATATGGCTGCCATTGAATACATACATAATAACTCAGACAGGGTTAAGACCTTCACTATTTGGTTAAGCATAAGATGCCTGATCTACAGTGGCAGAGTAATGAATTCAGGGACCCACTGGCTGCACTTTTCTTAGGCCCCTTTTCTGCCCCCACTCCCTAAAACGATACCAGGATTAAATATAATACTATTAAATATTAGTAACTATAAAGTAATTTGACACTGTATCAAGTAAGAGCAATCACATCAAAACAACAACAAACCGGCAAGCTTACATTTTCACATCAGTCATATGCAGCAACCAGAAACAGCTCAACAGAAACCTCCCTGAATAAAAGCATCTCAATAGTGGTAACCTTAAAACATTATCCAGTGCGTGTCAACTGCATCCACAATGTTTATCATAGATAGCATCGACCATACATAACTTTGCAGAGAGAGGCAAATTCCAAATGAATATAAAACAAGTTCTTACTATTACAATGTTTTCCTCCGGGCTTAAAACTAATTGATCAGGCTTGTAAAATCCATTATATGTAGGAAACAGACACATACGCATACCAGAAAATACACAAGGCTATTAAAAAAGCACCAAAAAAGAGATACATTTAAGAATTGGTCTCCCCATTCATCACCTCAACTTAAACAATCGTCATATTGCAAACAAATAAAAGACCAATGAAGGATCACTTAAAAAATAGTAGTAATAAAAAAAACTTGATGGCTAATAGGAGCCCCCAGATCACTCCCTAGGCTGCAGCAGAGGCAAGCCTGATCATTAATCTGCCTCTGATGATCTAAATGATTTTAAACATGGTGTGACTGTTGGTGCCAAACATGGTGGTTGTCTAAGCATTCACACTCTTGGGATTCTCACACACTACAGCATCTAGGGTTTTCAGACAATGGTGCGATCAAGAAAAACATCTAGTCAGGGTCAGTTTCGTGGCTGAAAACACCTTGTTACTTGGAGAGGTCAGAGGAGAATGGTCAGACTTGTTAAAACTAACAGGATAATCTACTAAGGGGGACCCCCACCCCATTTGGCAAAATCAACCAAGGGGGACCCCCACCCCATTTGGCAAAATCTACTGAGGGGGACCCCCGCCCCATTCGGCAAAATCTACCAAGAGGGACCCTCACCCCATCTGGCAAAATTTATGTAGGGCTCCCCCCCCCCCGCCATTCAGCAAAATCTTCCGAGAGGGACCCCAGCCCCATTTGGTTATAAAAGTAACTCACGCTGTAAAGAAGGTTAGAGGCCACTGCTGTAAAAGAATGTGTTTGAAAAAGGCCTATTAACAGGCAATATTAAAAAAGTAACTCGCGCTGTAAAGAAGGTTAGAGGCCACTGCTGTAAAAGAATGTGTTTGAAAAAGGCCTATTAACAGGCAATATTAGCTGTGTTTTTTGTTTACCGGGTATGGTACAGAATGTAGCTGCGCAAAAGAGTCCTAACACGCTATAGGGTGTGGAGGCAGCATTAACGGCTCTTACCTCACCCACCTTAGGTATGCACTAGACAGGCACTTTGAACGTCCCCACATGGTCAGTGTTTAAGCTTATGGTCAATGACTGTCACCCCATTTGGGAGCTGCTATTTCTGAGGCTAAGAGTATCAATAGTAGGTGTACAACACAACTGGAATGCTGGTATACACGCCTAGTGGTTAGCAAACATTAGATTCGGGAGTCTGTGTTTGATTTACTATGCGGTGCATTGTAACGCATGAGGTAGGCAGAATCTGAGTGAATTCACCAAACACTTAAAACAAATATATTACATATTTTTAAATGTCATATGTAGGTAAGGAAGTGATTTCTTCATAATCTTTATTATCACAGGTGCCTCCTTTTGTTCATTTTTAGTGGCATGTTTCCTGATACTTTACCCTCTGCCTATTCAGTGTTTCCCATCAGTGATTTCACTTTTATTGCTGAACAAATAACTTGCAGAATGATTATTTCAGTTGTTTCCACACATCTTCCAACCAATTATCAGGACTGTGGGGTATTTCACTTATGCTTTAATCAGAAATCAAAATACATTTTAATAGGGTTCCAGTCATGCTGAACATGATGGGTGGTGTGTAGCCCAATGGGTTAGCGTGCTGTGCAATCATAAGAAAGTTGCCGGTTCAAACCCCATGATCGGCAGATTGATGCCACTGCTGCGCCCTTGAGCAAGGCCCGTAACCCGCAGCTCCAGGGGCTCTGCACACTGTCTGACGCTGTGCTGTGACCCCCCAAGCTTGCTCTCATCTGTATGTGTGTCTCAGAGAAAGCAAGAAAGCACGGGCAAATAGAGAATTTCCCAATGGAAAAAAATAAAGTATCTCTATCCTAGGTCTTATATAAATATGTTTGGAGCTATTGTCATTGGGTAAAGGATAGGGCCAACTGAGTCTCACACTCTCACCAAAACACCACCTTCCGAGACAGCAGTCACCCCATGAGGGGCAGCCACCAGCACATTCTGCTTCACTTCTCCATTACCCACTGCTTGTGATACTGAGCTGTCTTGGTTATGCACACGACAGAGTGACATGACATGACAGCAAGACATGAACTGTAACCACATTGCCTAGAATGATCCGGCAATGTGTTTCTGTTAAGCGTCCCATGGAAGATTTGTCAAGGAAGCCTACAAGACCAATGCAAGCAGAAAGAGCTGATGGATAATTAAGTTAACGAGCATTTTTCCATTCCAGCTTCGCTGTTCCCGGCGAATTACTTCTATTCAGTAATAAAAACCAGAGAGGAATATAAATGAATCTGGGGGAAGCAGAAAGTGGGACTTAGCATCCTTAATGAAAGCAGGGGGGGCAAACCCCATCTTCTCATTTACCTACTCTTTTAATGCTTAAGAAACACCTAGTGAAACCCCACACAGGGCAGTCTTCAACAGGAATGCAGAGAACGAGGAAATGTAAATGAAAGAAGTGCCCAGGAGTCCAGCATCAGACTAGCACTGGATACAGAGTTATGCAGCACAATTTTCTCTTCAAATTGAATCAGCTCCAAGTTGGTCTGCTGCTTGCTATAAAGTATAACCACAATGAGCAAATGATCAAACTGCACTGGAATCGTCTTATAAGCTATAAAATTTGAAATAGCCAGAGATAATAATTAGCAAACCCTTGCTCAGTCTAGTTGATGTGTTAGCATGTGACAGCCGTAGAAACACAGATGCAGGGGTGGTCTGGGTTCTTTTCGGCTTATAGCAGACAGACCTGCCAGTCCACCACTTTCATTTCTATGGTGTCACGTTTCCAGTACCTTCTAATGTTAACCAAAGGCCTATATTTGGTTGCATTACCATCCTTGGTGCGCTTCTGCACACCCTGGCGTAGTGCTGGGCGATAAAACGATGTCGATTTTTTATCGATAAGAAATGAGGACGATTGCGATGATACACACAGACTATAAAACTCGATCAACCAAGTATGCTGTTTTAGAGAATGCGCTAAGACAGACAACTCAATGGCCTATGGGCTATGGAGGAGAGGTTTACTGAACGCCAGCACAACAGCCAATCACCGACGACGTGGTAAATTTGCCCATCCTCCCTTAAAGAAGCAATGGGTGCGTTCGACTTGGGCTCAGGTCTGTCTGTAGTTGACATGATGTGGAGCGCGATCTGCCGGCGGCTGCAGGAGTGGAGTATAAAAACATAAGAAATTTACAAATGAGAGGGGGGCATTCGGCCCATCAAGCTTGTTTGGGGAGAACTTAACTAATAGTTCAGAGCTGTTAAAATTTTATCTAGCTCTGATTTAAAGGAACCCAGGGTTTTAGCTTCCACTACACTAGCAGGAAGACTATTCCATACTCTAACTACACGCTGTGTAAAGAAGTGCTTCCTCAAATTT